GGCTGGGGGGCCGGGGAGGCTGGGGGGCCCGGGAGGCTGGGGGGCCCGGGGAGGCGAGGCGGCTCCAGTCTGCGGCACGGTCCGCAGCGGGGCGTGACGTGTGCGCTCCTGGGGTCTCGTTCTTTCTGCCGCCGGGGCTGCTGCTGGGGGAAGCCGCCAGCGCTGCTCTCAAAGCCAGGACAGTCTCCAGTGGCCCCCAGTTCCGCCCGCCCTCCTCCCTCCCTCATTGTCCCGCCACTGTCCCGCTCGCGCAAAGGGAATCCAGAGGCGGGAGAGGGCGGATGGGCCATCAGCACTGTGCCGGGGAAACCAGGGCGGGCTCCGGGAGGAGGCGGCCTTTTGGCTAGAGTGGGAAAGGAGCAGGCGCTAGGCTGGTGCTGTCGTGAGGGAAGGGTGCCCCGCGGAGGGGCGGTGGGTCCGGCAGGGCCCCCGGCGTGCCGTCGGCTGGAGCAGCCCGCGTCCCAGTCGTGCTGAGCAGCGATGGCGACTGAGCGGGACGGGTGCAGTCCGGGTGGGGGCGGCGTGTAAGAGATGAGCGGGAGCGGCGGGCAGGGCCGCTCTGGGACAGACCCTGCCAGCCCCTGGCCTGCCGGGGTCGCTGACCGCCCGGCGTGGCCGCACGTGGCTGCTCCTCTGAGTGACCCTCACTGGGTGTGTACCCCACTAGCTCCAACCCTGGTCTCATTCGCTCAGCCAGGCTCCGTGCTCAGCCTTAAACATTCTGGTGAACCCCTGGCACGCCTCGGAGCGGGGGAGACTGAGGCCCACGTGTCTGCCTCACACCAAAGCCCGGTCTCCCTTCGGGGAGCAGCTTCAACCTGTCACTTCTGCCCCTCAGAGTCTGTCAGTAGGGGTGGAGGCCTCAGGGGGGGCACCCCTGCCTGCACCTGAGTGTGGATCCTTGCCTGTGTCTAGTGCCCCCAGAGTTTGTGGGAGACTCGGAGCCCCTGACCAACATCACCGTGGCCTTGCACAGCCCCTTGACGCTGCTCTGTGAGGCCGCCGGCACCCCTCCTCCAGGGGTCCGCTGGTTCCGAGGGGACGAGCCCCTCAGCCCCGGGGAGGACACCTACCTCTTGGCAGGTAAGGCTCCGTGGGGCACATGGCTTGGTCTGACCCCTGCTTCCGCTCCCGGACCCTGAGACGCCAGGTCTGGTTTGAACCATTTCATGTGTGCCCAGAAACGCTGGCGTACCCTAAAATACTGGCCAGGTGAGGTGCTCCAGGAGAGAAAATGGGATTTAAGTAATTTTGGAAAAGGCTTCCTATTCTATTCCCCTTCTAGAAAGTTCCAGTAACTGCTTGCTTGCCCGGTCAAAGTTCTGATAATTCCCGCAACAACAACAAAATTCTCACGGTCCTTATAAAACATCTCCGGAGCAGGACGGGCCCGGGGGGCCGTCTGAGCCCCTTCTCTAAGTACGCAGTCTGCAGTCACGGCTGCTTGGGGACGGTTCTTACTGATTTCCGTCATGGGGTCCTTCCCATGGGGTACCCAGCCGCACGGGACCGAGGCAGTGTCCCACCCAAATCTTGCAAGGGCTTCCAGGCCCACCGAAGCGCAGTCTTTGTGACCTGTCGACTGCTGAACACAGACGCAGCTGGGACACAGACACGTTTGGCCTTGGGCACCATGTCTGGGCGCTTGGCGGGGCTGCCCAAGCCCTTGGGTCATGTGGGTTCGGGACTGCTGGGGGCTGGCAGGAGAGGAGGCGGCAGTCGATGAGTGATGCCTGCCCGGGGCAGGACCGGCGGCCCTACGTGTCCCATGATCTCCTCTCCCCAGCTGGCCGTAGGGGACCTCCGGCTTCTGCTAGGGGAGCCGGCCTGCTTCGGAGAGGTTCTTAGGAGCAGGTGGCTTTCACATTAAGGGTCCATCAGATTAGCTGGCCCCTGCCCCGGCAAGGACGACACTGCTCCTTGCCCTCCCTTTAACTGTGACCAATCCCCAGAACTGGAGCAGCCAGATGATGGAGCTGTGCTGCTACAGCAAGGCCCTCAGTTGACCCTGGCGCACGCCCGCCGTCCTGGGGGCTCCCCCATTGACCCTCCTGGGCCTCAGTTTCCCCACCTGGGGAAGGCACGCTGGGGAGGTGCACACACATGTAGGGGTGAGGCCTGGCACTCCCCTTCCCCAGGAACAGCCTGGGACGGAGGGTGCTTGTAGCCACGCTAGGACCCCGGCACCCCTCTCTCCCCAGGTGGCTGGATGCTGAAGATGACCCGAGCGCAGGAGCTGGACAGAGGCCTCTACTCCTGCCTGGCGAGCAACAAGGCTGGGGAGGCGCGGAGGAACTTCAGCGTAGACGTCCTGGGTATGTCGCAGCTGTTCTGGGGCCCCCTGGGCCTGCCCCTCCGTCCTGAGAGCTTCAGGGTCAGGCCCGGGACGACGGCCCAGGCCGGAAGGAGGGAGAGTCAAGCCTTATTTCCGTTGCGTCCCCGGAAGCCTCCGCTCTGAGGCTGCATGGAACTTCCCGGCCACGGCTGGGCCTCCCCCGGAGGCGCCACCGACCATTGTCCCGTGGCAGCAGTCACCGGGAGGGACACGGAGGCTCAGGCCTCTGAGGAGCAGAGCTGCGGCCTCGGCTTTCTGCTCCGTGGCGTGTGAGGCGCGGGCCAGCCGGGCCCGTGACGTCCCTGCTTCTCCCAGTTCCTCCCAGTATCGAGGACGAGGACCTGGAGGAGGCCATCAGGGTCCCCGAGGGACAGAGCGCACACCTGGCGTGCAACGCCACAGGCAAGCTCGGGCCGGGAGGGGCCGCGCGGCAGGCCCGG